CGCCCGAACGGCGTGCTCGTTGGCGGGTTTGCTGGCTGGCAGCGAAATGCGTCGGAATCTCGGCTCCACCACCTTGTGGCGAGCCGTGTGGTGGTGGCAGTCCCCGCGTGGATGCGGGCGTGCTGAACGTGGTTCCCTGCCTTTCGGTCCCGTGAGGCGTCGTTGGCGCCTCGCCCGCAGGTCCTGCTGGACGTAGTTTGGAAGCCACGTTGACGTTCGTGACTCCTCGTGCTGCCAGTTGCTATCTGCGCGTTGGGCACCGGGGCAATTGTGTCCGCGTAGGATTGCAACGTGGTTGGGCCTCGACTTTCCTGTCATTGGAATTTTCGGGGCTCGTGGCGGCCCGGGCGTCGACGCAGCTCTTGCGGAATTGGCGGTCGCGCTGCAGGATGGCACTCGGGTCAGGGTTGAATTGTTCGTCTGGGCGGATATCTCGCGTCGCGTGGCCGTCCAGTTCCACGCCAGTAGTATGTGATTCGGCTTGTAGGTGCTCGGGGAGAGGCGGTGGAGCAGCGGTCGGTGGTCCAGTCTCGGCGAGGTTGACCATCTGCCAGGCGCGCTCGCGGCGGTGGGCGTGGCGCTGTTCCAACTGAGAGCCATGGGTGGGCTCGTGGCCGGCCATGGCGGTGAGTGGCGCCGTAGTCTCAGGGGCTAGGTCATGCATGATGTTCGCGCGGAGGGCCGTGGTCGGCACTTCGGGGAGGGGCTCGTGGCCGCGGCCCTGTGCTGCAAATATCAAGGCAGCCCGCTCGCGCAGACTCGCCCGAAGTCATGGGGGCTGGTTGAATCCGCCGATGTGTGCCATGCTGGCTCGCTGGTCGTCGGCGGCCGCGAGTTGTCCAGTCGGCTGAATCGCGCCCCCCGCGCTGAACTGTTGTTTTGTCGAAGTGAGTCTGGAACGGCGCGGGCTCCAAGGCGGAACTGGTTTGCCGATGCTGCTAGCACGGGGGCCGCTGGGGCAAATCCAGGAGGAAGGGGGGCGCCGGTAGTTGAGCTCCTGATGAAGGGGTGGCAGAATTCAAACTTGAAGGGCGCGGCGGGCGCGTCGGTGCATGCGTGGCTCTGGGCGGTGGTGAAGAGTGCTGCCGGTCAAGAGCCGCGGGCTGATTCGGGCATCTGCCAGGGGCCCTCGGAAGCGGGCCGGGCCGGACATGCGCCGGCTTCTGAATGCGGTGGAACAGATTCGGCGACCGTGAAGGCGGCCCCTGATATGCCGGAGGCAGGCCGAGCATCCAGGGCGCCACCGATAGGACCCGAGTCGGCGTAGCCACCGAAAAGTCGGGCCACCTTCCTGGGCGCTTGAACTTCGCCGGCCGGCCCGTGGGCATTCAGCTCTGAAGTGGAACTCCGAGACGCAGATGCTGGACTTCACAATCTGCCCGTCGTGGCCCTGAGGGTTCCACCTGCGGCCCTTGCCTTCGCCGCTAGGCCGCTGTCATCCGCCCGTGCCATTGCCTCCTTGACAGACGGCGTCGACTTGATCGCCGGTCAGCTGGGCCAGAAAACTCTACTCGTGAATTCCCGTGACTTTGCCGCGGTTGTTCTGGTGGGTTCGTTCACGCGTCGTCCCCGCGATCGTTCGCGGCGCTTCGTTCAGGAAGCTGGGCTTTGATCTGGGCTGGGGACATGCCTCTGAACTGGTCCGGATAATAATAAATACTTCTCGAAGGTCTGATCTGGCGTCGGAGCTGGTGCTGCTGGCATTCCGCGGATGGGCCTGAGCTTCGTCGGCGGCGGGGGATTCTGCCCGCGGCGTCGCGGCGCTCGGCTGAGCGCTGCCGTCGCGAGCGGCGAAACCTCGTCTGGCGCCTGGGAGTTCATCGGCACTCGCGGCCCAAGGCCAGCTGGGTGCGCGTCGCGTTGGTTGCTGTTGTCGTTGGTCATGCCTGCGACACCTCCGAAAGATGGCGACGAACGGAAGGCGCTGGCGATGTTGTTGGGCGCGTGCTCCACGATGTGGCCTACGCGCCTGAGCGTCGTCATGAGGCTGTTGAACTCAGGCTCTGTTGCGGAGTATCATGTGCCGCAGGGCTGGAGCGGCGCCGTGAGTGTGCTGGTCGTGGTGCCGACAGTTCGGAGGGGCAGCCAGCTGTAGCTTTCCCATGGCATCGCAGCTCCACCATTGTGCGCCGCTCGGGATCGCAATGCTCGGGGCCGCAGGAACAAGGCGTTGGTGGTCTCGTTGCGTCGCCTCGAAAACTCGAAGAGCTCCCGTGTCACCTGCAAGCGTGGCTCTTCAAAGGTTGGTCCGGAATTAATTCCGATGTTCACGATGAGGTCGGTCACGGCTGATTCAGGTTGACCATTAGCCGAACAGCCTTCGGTCATCTCCGCGAAGTTCACGTAGCGATTGACTTTGAGAGAGGCGCCGTCCAGGTTCTGGATGGTGGCTGCGCGCCGTTGCGCGTTGCGCGCTCCGCGCGGGCGTGTCATGCACCCAAAGGCAGAATTGGTAGACGGACTTGCGTTCAAGCGACCAGGCAGGTGGCTGACGCATGCTGCCTGCTCTGCCGCCGCTGCCACATTGCTGTCCAACTCTTCCAAGCATCATTCACGCGAGCCGGTGCGAGTCGATCGCGGAGGGGATGCTGATGCTGCCCCATAGCGGCAAGAAGGATATCCTTCTCTGGAGGAGTCCACCACGATGCGGGCTGCGCAGGCGCCTTGGAAGTCGGACCTGCGCAAAAGACAAACGCCAGCTCGATCCTTGGGACAACCGTCGTGGTGCTGCTACCCGTCGTCGGCGCCGGGGGTGGTGAAACAGGTGCGCTAACCACTAGCGTGTCATTCGAAATGCTCAGCGTGCTCAATAGGACGCGAGCCAGAGTGAGAAAACGGAGGAGGAGAAGAAGGTGGATGAGGCGGACACTGGCAAGAAAGAGAAGGAGAAGGAGGGCAAAGAGGGAGGAGGAGGAGGCGGAGGAGGAGGACGAGTTTAAGGAACAGGACCAGTGTAAACCCAAGATGCATCAACGATGTTGGGATACACCCACCCCCCAAACTCCCTGTGCATAGGCCCCTACAACGGTTCATTTCCATTGAAGGAACTGCCTCGTTGGAGAACAACCGTTTGAATACCCTGAAACATGCCAAAACATTGTTCTCGGGATTCCAACGCCACGGATCAACCTGACTGTTGCGTCATGACGATCCTGACTCGTCCATTCTGGGACTTCACAACACAACGAACCTACGTAACTATTGCACCCGCATAATCCTGAATCCTTCCAAAACGCCATTCCTGATACGTTGATCATGGGAACCCGCGATAATCTTGTAAACCCTATACACGGGTGCGCGCGGCGCTAAGGTGAAAACCGTATTTTGAAGAAGAGCCGCCGTCAATCCGTGAAGATCGTTCAATTTTTTAAGCGAAAGTGCGCGGCGCTAAAGCGAGAACCGCATTGTGCAAACGACCCGCCCTCAATACGTGAAGCTCTTGTCCATTTTTTTAACGAATGTGTGCGGCGCTAAAGCGAAAACCACATGGTGAAAACGGCCCGCCCTCAATGCGTGAAGCTCTTGCGAGCTTATCAAAAGCATGTGCGCCGCGCTACGGCGAGAGCCACATTTTGCAAACCACCCGCCCTCCATTTGTGAAACTGTTGCCAATTTTTAAGCGTCAGACTCATAAGTGGTTCGGGAGTCTCAAGCGAAACGCCTAACCCGCCCTTAAACAGGTCTCGGCGTGCGACAGAGAGAAGCTATTTATAAAGGGAAAGGAATGGAGGAGGAGGAGGACCAGTGTAAACCCAAGTGGCATTACCGATGTTGGGATACACCCTCCCTCCAAGCTCCCTCTTCATACGCCCCTTTACAACGGTTCATTTCAATTGAAGGAGTGTCTCGTTGAAAAACAGCCGCTTGACGACCCTGACGCACGCATGCCGAAACATTGTTCTTGGGATTACAACGCCACGGATCAACCTGACTAGTGCGTCTTGACGATCCTGAATCAGGCCAGAACGCCATTCCAGGGACTTCAACACAGCGAATCAACGTAGCTGTTGCGCCCGCATAATCCTGAACCCTTTCAAAACACAATTTTCGGTAAATGGGAAACCGTGAAGCTTTCGCATTTAAACAACGAGTGCGCGCCGCGCATTTTGAAAACCACCCGCCCTCAATCCATGAACTCTTGCACATGTTAAAACGAATGTGCGCCGCGCTAAAAGCGAGGACAACATCTTGAAAACCACCCGCCCCCCATCCGTGAAACTCTTGCACATCTTCAAAACGAATGTGCGCCGCACTAAGGCGACAATCGCATTTTGAAAACCACCCGCCCCCAACCCGTGAAACTCTTCCAAATTTTACAACATATGGGCGCCGGGCTAAAACGAGAACTGCATTTCGAAAACCACCCGCCCTCAAGCCGCGAAGCTGTTGAACATGTTTAAAACGAATGTGCGCCGCGCCAAAACGATAACCACATTATGAAAACCCACCGCCCTCAATCCGTGAACCTCTTGCAAATTTATCAAACGGATGTGCGCCCCGCTGAGGCGAGAGTCACATTTCGAAAACCACCCGCCCTCAATATGTGAAGCTGTTGCCAATTTTGAAACTTCAGAATCATAAATGGTGAGGAAATCTCAGGCAAAACGCCCAGCCCGCCCTAAAAATCGGCCTCGGGGTGCGACAAGGAGCAATTATTTATAAGCAAAAGGAATGGAGTAGGAAGAGGAGCAGGAGGAGGAGGAGGAGGAAGAGGAGGAGGAGGAGGCGGCGTCGGCGTCGGCGTCGTCGTCGTCGTCGGTGGGGAGAAAGCGGACGGGAGGATACGGACCTTACGATCATGATCATAACGGTCATGATGCTGCTGCTGCTGATGTCGAGGGGGAGGAGGAAAAGGAGGAGGAGGAGGGTAGGAGTAGGAGTAGGACTATGAATAGGAGGAGGCCGGGGAGGAGGAGGAGGAGCAGGAGGAGGAGGACGTGGAGGAGGCGGAGGCCACGAACGAGGAAAGGTCGGCGAGGAGAGGAACAAGCTCCGCCCGCCTTCAGACGAAGGGCGTCGACAGTGTTGTACAGCCTGTGCCAGTGCCCCCTCAGCATGAGGCTGTAGAAGGTGGAGGCGTTGGGCACGAGCAGGGCCTGGTCGACCTGCAGGGGGTCTCTCGCGCTGTCGCGTCGGTCCAGCGGCTGGGGGGGGCGAGGAGGATGGGGAGGATGGGGCCGGGGGAGGAAACGGATAATGGGGGGAGGAAGGAGGAGGAAGCGTGCGGAGGAGGAGGAGGAGGTATACAAAGGGAGAGAGAAAGAGAGAGAGAAAGAGATATGATGATGAGGACAATTGGGGACGAGGAGGATGAGGAGGATGGGGGAGGAGGAGGAGGGAGAAGGAAGCGTGCGGAGGAGGAGGCGGAGGAGGAGGAGGCGGAAGAAGAGGAGGATGAGGAGAAGGAAAAGGAGGGAGGACGAGAAGGGAGGAGGAGGAACAAGAGGAATAATATATGGAAGTTGGTGAGGAGGGGGATGGCTGGAGGGGAGGGAAGAGGACGACAGAGGAGGATGATGAGCTAGAGTTATATGTTCAGGCCCTCAATCTCCCTGAATATGAAAAGGATACAATAGAGAAAGAGCTCCTTTTCTCCAGTCAACTAACCAGATACTGTAATACCAGTCAGCCGTGCAAGAACGTCTCGCTATCAAGGAGAAGAAGAGGGATGTTATTCTCTCTGTGTTCGTAGTGCAAGTCATTAGAGAAAGAGGGAGAACTGCGCAGCTTGAGCCCGAAGGGGCTATCGGCCGTCGTCGTTCGCCGGCGGCCTACGTCTGCTGCCCACTCTACCTTACCTGCGCTCTCTCTAGCCAGGAGCGCTCCAGGACTCGATCGGTGATCTATCAAGTCGGCTCTGGACGCGAAGGTCTCTGACCTCAACGCCCAAACACATCGTGCTTTACGTAAGGCTGCGAAAGACACAAGCAACAGAAGGTGCACTGCGCACCGCGTGCACAACAGCTGGCAGTCTCGCGTCTACCGTTACACAGCGCTGCAGGTCGCAGCCGTCTAGACTGCTAGCCGCAGACCGAAGGGGTCTGCCGATCAAACACAGGGCTCTAGGCATGCACACATCTAGCTGCGCGAGAAGAGTTCTCGCCGAAACCTGCACGCTGCTCCGCAGTGTTCCTAAGTAGCAACTGCTTGCAGGTCCTCCGCACGGGGAACCTTTACAGCGTGGCGCAGGTGCCACACACCTGCCATTAACTGGTGCAGGGGAAGCCGATCCAGCTTTCCCTTCGTCATACCGTCTACGCACATATCTCGCGTATCAATCCAATAAAATCTCTTGAGCACCCTAGTTCGCATTAATTCACGTATATATGCTAAGTGAAAGAAGGTTCCCTTATCGGCAGGGAATTTTGAATGATCAGCTTGCAAATAGCTAAACAGCGAACCAGAATCAGTGAAGGCTTCACTCTGCAAAATAAATTCTCCAGACTCACGAATCTCCTTCATGCGCACTGCAGTCTGAGGTCCCTGTCGGACTTCCTCGAAGAAAGACAAAATAATCACCATCATGTCCAGCATATCGCATTGGTTATGAATCTCAGCACTCCAAACTCCACGACATACATGATTTTGCTTGCCTCCAAGAAATGCTAGTACCTGTAAGTCATACTTGGAGTTCTTCTTGTCGTAGTGCGCCAGACCTAATACATATCCTCGCATGACAAGTGGATCCGTAGCCTTGCTCTCGTCACTTGGGGCCTGATAAACACTATCACCAACTGCGATAAGAGAAACTGGCATCTTAATCTTGCGATACTGAAGACCGTGTGGATTATTCTTCACATGCCGACATAATCTGTTGATGCGCTTCAGGTCCAGGATTGTCGGTCTCTTAGCTATACGTTGTAGTGAACTAACATAGATTACAATATCCAACCGCGTCTGAACTAGCCAGGCCACTGCCCCTAACAGCGTAAGAAAACAAGGATTCAACTCTTCACTCAAAGGTTGATCATCGCTCTGCTTTTCATAGTAGGTCGCTGCCAAGGGCTTGATGGCTGCTGCATAGTCGAACTGATCCAAGATAATACATTTCCCATCATCAACAACTCGATGCCTAATGCCAGTGTGTATGAATGACTGCTCAATATTTATTTTGACGTCCATGCCGAAGTATTTCTGCAATATTTTGAGAAACTTTAACAACGTCATCTTCTCACCCGTCGCCTTGTAGTCGTCCATATGAGTGCTTACCCTGAGAATCAACTGTCTATTCTCGAACTTCAGATAGATCTTAGGATCCGATATCGTAGGGTAAATGTTCTCCTTCTTGAGTACTTGATCTGCCTTCATCGTGAATAGATTGGGTGCATCAATGAATCCAAATCCACCTTTAAGCATCTCAAGACATTCGATAGCATCGTTGAAGTTCTCGAAACCCTTGATGGAACGTAAAATAACACTTCCAGCTGGCTCAATACCTCCTCGACCGCGCGGTAGTATCATTGAAACCTGCCGTTTAGGTCCACCGCGTAATTGCTGTACTTCTTCAAAAGTTAATCCCTTCAAAAACGCTTGGGATATGTCCAAGGAGGCGATCGGCCATTCTGATTGAGCTGCCGTAGCAACAACAGCTCGCTGTCCCCAGGAACTCGCCGTGCCGCTAACCTTGTCCAAGTTGCCGCGTTCCATGTCCTTGAAACCATGTACTGTCAATCGACATTTCATAATGCGGGTGCCGTCGTTCTGCAGCTTCCACGTGAAAACATATCGTGAAGTCAACAAATTCCAGGCATCCTTCTTGTTCTGGCGCCTCACGGAACCGTTATCAATCCAGCGTAACAATTCTGCAAGAACAGCTGCTTTGGCCAGCTCCGTGTTCTTCCTCAAGTCGTCATCGGACGCTGACATGTTGGACTGCGTCTTGTTGGTTTCTATGAGCGCCCTCTTGATACCTGCCTTATCCACGTGAAGCACACGTCCATCACCATCATTCCACGTTGCGTCTACTGGTAGATAGCCACTCAAATAAGCTAGGCCTATTGGTAGCTGAATCTCCGCCGGGTCTTGTAAAATTGTCTTCACCACCTCGCGGTTATCCTTGGTGAGTCTGGTGGCGAAGGCTTTCACGTCTTTGTCGTATTCCGACAATGCCTGTAAACCATGATCTGAGCACAACTGGTACCGAGGCATCAGCTCTGCATAAGCGTGTAAGTACTCGTATCCCAGCAACGTGCCCTCCATGTCATACTCTGTCTCCGGGGGCGTAGCAGAACAAAACATGACCTTCCACTCATCATCGTCCGTGTTGATGGTCAAGTTTGGATCTTCATCCTCCAACTCCTTCTGCCACGCTGCCCAGAACTCCGCGTCGAGTTCACCGTTATCCTCTGGTGCTGCGCGCAGTCCCTGATCAGGAGAATCTCCCGGCGATATAGGAGACAGTACTACTGGCGAATTGTTGTGTTGTTCATTGTGCACTCCTCCGAGCTGAGAAACTCCAGGCTCTTCTCGCACTGCCTGCTGCACAACCTGATCTTCGTGCAGACAAAACTGCACCGTGAATATCTTCTTCCAATCACCGCGATCACCAAATAGTACTTCCACATTCACACTCTGTCCACCTTCGATGAGTACGTAGTCATAGCTGCTGTCGTTGTCCTGCGACCAAAATACAATCACACTGCCTGCGGCTCCTTCACTTAATGACGCTAGTCTGGATACTCCATGAGCACACACTCCAGCCAAGCATCCTGGTACTTGCAAAGTGTTGAGCGCCACGTCAAGAATAGCGTGAAACACCAAACTGTGCACGATCGCATCCGCTGTCAATTGCCAACCTGCTCCTGTACGCATCCATCCAATAATCGTAGACTTCCTCCTGAGCGTGCTCGTAAAATTAACTACGCACTTCCAGGAATTAAGGATGCTGTCGTGCTGTAACCGATCTGAGCACTTGTCCAGGAACATCGTCATGTACACCATAGCTCTTCGTAGACTCTCGATGGGCACTGTGATATGTCTTCCTTGCCATCGAACTGTAATCTTGCCGTGCTCGAGCTCGGTCAGGTCCGTGACAGTGGCTGGTCCAACCCAGCCCGGACGGTCCTTCTGTGGAGACTTCCTGAATATTTCCACCGAGTCGCCGTTGTTCAAGTTCAGTTGATCTCCCGCTAGCGGCGTACGTGACTTATCGGCCAATCGTAAACGATGTTCTGCCAAGGCCGAAACTGCACTGCCAACTGATATCTCCCGCAAGCGGTGTACATGTCGTAGACCATCCATACCTGATTCGTCCTGCATTCTGGCCTCGCCAATCACGTCCTCGATCTGTGGCAGCAATCTTGGTGTACGTCCAAACAGAGACTGATACGGTGTACCCTGTCCAGTGGAAAGCAAGGAGTTCTTGGCCAAGACCGATTCCGAGAGTATTTCTGCGAACGTCGCTTCAATGTTGTCGGCCTGAAGCTGAGACTGCGTGCGATGAAGCTGGCAACGTAGAATTTCGTGATGTCGCTCAGCAATCCATGCCTTCTTGTCTTTGGGCTTAATGACCAGCTCGATATTCCATCGCGTAGCCCAAGTCTTAGCCTCGTCGCTGGCCATAGCGCCCTCGCCATCCCAGATCATAAGCTCTGGAGGTCCAAACACTCTGATCCACCTGGACGTCATCATAACCAAGATGGTATGCGTCTCCTTGTCCGTGATCTCTTCTGCCACGGTCCATCTTATGCACTCATCAATCAAATGCAGGATGATGTAACTCCGTATCTCCGATCCCGTCTCGTCTGAATAGAACATGAGATCGCCCTGAACAGATTAATTGAATCGCATGCTTATTCTCGTTGCCGTTCGAACATGAGGTGCTCCTCTTGCCCACATTCTACATATTCTGCATGTGTCGACCACCTCGGCAACTAACTTCATCACTTCTGGGGGTACTCCCACCAATGATAGCAGTCTAGTCATCTGTGCGATCGTAGTATGATACCAACGTAAATGCAGTCGTCTGAGGGCTTTCTTCTTGGTCAACACATCAGCATCATGAAGTATTCTAATCATGTGCTTGAAATCCGAGTTGCCCCAGACCTGAATATCTTGATCTTCGTCTCCGTGTGGTACCAGCGCTTGATGCCGTTGATCGCGGGATCGCGTATCAACTCCATGACGCAATCGCCGTAAGCCGCTGCGTCGTACTGCTAGGCGTCCTTCGGCATGCGGCTCCGGCGGTGGTGGTACATTTCCACTGTCTGCTGCCCCTTCTGCTGCAGGAGGTTCACTCGCTCCTGCTTCAGCTTGTGCTCCATCCGCCCGTGGAGCCGTTGCCTCAGGACGCTCTGCCTCAAGCTCTCCGTCTTCCAGCTCGACTTCCTCGGGGTCGTCAAACTCCTTAAACTCCACGGGAACAGCCTGTCGCCGTCGTTCTGCTTCCTCAACTTCTGCCGGACTCGCTCCTGAGCCTGTAGATCCACCTGTGGATACCACGCCTCCACCAACATCTCCTTCAGGTCGAACTGGTGGTTCTTCGCGTTGATGCTGAGGAGCTCTCGCCCCGGCTGGTCTCGCCGAGCCAGACGCACGTGCCGACTCGAGTCCCAGCTTGCACAGCTTGTCTGGCTCTGTCGACTTGGTATGAGCTGGATCGACTCGAGCTTTCGCCTGCAAGCAAGCAGGACACTTATATGGCACTGTCTTCACATGGGGATACTTGCAATCTCCTACTCGAATATGTGCTGGATGCTCCGAAGATCTTCGCCGTTTACATCCTGGGCATTCTCGATCTAACTCGTCTTCCAGGATAGGATAATGTTTTCGGTCATCCTGAGCTCGTTGCCATTTACGACGATGCAGCAATCGTTGGATTCCCCAGGCTAGTCGCTCTGCTAGTCTCCAAGGCCATACCTGAGAAGTCGCTGCATGATTACCTCTGAGCATCACATGATTACCGTCGCAGGCACCAGCAATATCGCCACACTTGATGCCGTCGACGTAATATATCAAATCGTAATCAGATGCCCACAACGATGTAGGCTTGTTAACATGGCCTCCGTCCGTTGTACGAGCACCCATCTGACACATGTGAAAATTGCCAACCACCGTACGCGGATGTTCTCGAACTTTTGGCCAAGGATCGTATGTGTACATGTCGCTCGCAGTGGGCTGCTCGTTCAACCAGTCTCGTCCATCGTCATACTGCGCCAGAGCAACAACAGCACAAAACGTGGATAGTTTTAAAGCGTAGTCTAAGCTCTCCTCCCACGTGTCTGGAAACAACTGCCTGTTCATGTATGACCAGCCTCCAAATGGACCACATATAGGACTCATAATCACCACTCGAACTCCTCTTGACGAACGATAATGAAGAAAAGCTTTCTGTTCGCTGGACTGCGTCAGGTCGGAGCCGGTGATGATGTCGAAATTCTTACCCACCTTGGTGCGATAACGAGTCAGTATAATAGAGGTACGAGCTTGTCCTCCGGCAATCTCGCACACATCGAACTGAACATCGTCCATTTTGGATTGAAACACATTCATAGCTTCCATACAGTTAAATATCTGCGCAAAAGGCATACTTCTCGTAGCAAAGTGTGGTACTGATTGAAGTCCCGATAACCAGTAAGGCTGAAACTGATCATCGACCACTGGGTCCTCGTCACTGCCGTAGTCCTCGATCTCATTATCCGAAAACCCAACAGTGACCATCACATCCTTGCCCAAACCACTCCAATCGTTACCGCAATCGTCGTAGTGCTTTTCATAGACCCTGGCCTTGCCTGACTTTGGTGCGTTCGTGGTAATGTCCTCGCCATTCGCCTTCATGTTTGCCTTCTTCTGCTTTTGCCTCTCCTTCGCCGCCGTAGGTAGAACAATAGCAATCTTGTTATCATCCAATACCGCAACTCTTGATCGATCGGTGAACTCTATCAAGTCGGCTCTGGACGCGGGTAACAGGCCGTCGATAACTCCAAGCAGGCCCGTGACGATGTTGCGGTGATTCTCCATCCTGATATCGATAGTCTCATTCGGCTTATCGAAGGAGTACTTGATGTCCACGTCATGTGCGATCGAGGCAGCATGAGTACATACCGTATCGTTCAGGCGCTTCGTAGACACCATCTGCAGACATAACTTTAAAGGCTTCGAGGTAACCGGCGATACTGCATTCCAGGCACAAGTATTGTGATATGTACTATGAACCTGCTGCATGTTGATGATGCCCTGGATGGCAGCCATCTGCCAGGCACTCGATCTCCGCGGGGCATATATTGCGAAGTCCATATCTCTCTGCGTAGTGAGGTATGTCGTAAACCTGTCCATGACCTTGCGATCATTTCGTGTGCCCGAACCAGTTCTGCAACGTGGGAGCTCCGCGGCGACCAAGAAGGAGTCCTTCAAGAATCTATCACGTGCTTCCAACCACGAAGAATCCAGGAACATAGTTCGGGAAACCATATGTATATGCGGATATCGTTCAGACAGCTGCTGCTGCATCTGGGCGTCCTCGCTGATCAACACCACGTACTTCCTCGGCACATTCTCTACGTTGGGGCCCCACACGCCGGTAGTCGCACCCGCCGGCTCGGACGGCGGCGGCACTGCCTCCGGGCTAAGGCAGCCCGCCGTGCTTTGTCAGGTGGATGGGGCCCAGCTCACCGACTTCTTATCCGATGTCGGTGTTCTGGTAGTAGGAGTGAGTGAAGATGACGATGAGGCCGCTGCCGAACTTGCTCCGGCAGTCGCTCTCCCTGAAAGATTGGCCTCCTCCGTCGTCATCGTCATGTGGCTGGTCTTCGTGGGTTGTCCGTCCTGCTTACGCCGAAATCTACTGATAGGAATCTGCCAATGACCTGACTTGGCCTTGAGCATCTGGAAATGCCTGCTGCCCGGAGATGCCTCAATTTTAGCACCACCAGGCCCAAGAAACCATATCTCTCCAGTCTTACATCGAATAAGAACGTCATTGCGTTCAAGACTCTGAATACCCATCAATCCTGGGACTCCTGAGTTCTCCAGACACGGCGCCTTGAAGACCTCCTCGTGGTGCACTCCGTCGGTGTCGACCATGCCCGTGGTCAGCTCCACCTCGTAGTTGGCCTGCTGAGAGCCATTACCCACTCCAGCAACATAACGTGGTTCTATCAGCGACTGCTGATTGACCTTCTTCTGGTGCCCATTGCACTTCATAGCTTGGCGCCGGGCCCACTGATCTCCACATAGTCCGTCATGAGCTCCAGTATCTGGCATCAGACCAACCTCCTCATTAGGTAGTGCCATGTTGCTTGAGTATACTTCGTATTCACGCGCACAACTGCTTGAGGGCCACCATGGTCCGAAAAATGAACTCAGTCGCATAAGTCCTCCAGTAGATGATGCCGAACTGGCGCTGGCGTTGTTCATGTCTGTGATGAGGTTGGGTCGCCTGGCTGGCATAATAGTAGGCGCGAAACGGTTCTGCATAGGCACCATCTGATTAGCTTCACTTCGTGCCACCACTCCTCTCATCACCGTAGCCAGGTCCTCCATCATGGCTGAAACTTGAGGTCGCTCATCAAGACCATCCGCGATGTTCTGAGGGGTAGCCGGCGCGGCATCTGTGATCACCGTTCTGCACAGCGGGCATGTAGGAGGATTACCCACTGCACCAGCGACGATGATCGCAGCACAATCCTGACAGAAATGAGCATGTTCACATGGCACCAGCTTCGTGTTCACCTCCTGCTCTAGACAGATGATGCAGTGCTCCTCGTTCGTCGCCCTGTTGGGTGCGTTTTGTCGAAGGCCAGGAGCAGCGTCCCGGGCTCCTGCAGCTCGTGGGTGTTCCACACGCGGAGAGTCTGGCACCGGAACTGCTGCTGCTTCTGACACTGCACGTCGATCATCTTCGCGTCGGTCTACCTCCACATGGTTGCTAGCAATTGTGATTCCAGGCAGACCTTCAGGGGTACTAAATTCCTCTGGTGGTGTCCTCGCTGGTGGTGTGACAAACCCTGAAGCCTGCGCCGAGTTCGCTGACATGTCCACCAGCTGCTGAGTAAGCGCCGTCGGTAATGATGATGCCGTCGCCGAAGATGTCGATGGCCTTGGTGAAGGTTGTCTCCAATACGGCGATACAGCCGACATCCAACTTGTGATGTTTCCTTGCATCTGTCCATGCTGCGCTGCTCCGTACAGGCCACCTGTAAACATTGATCCAAATACTCCGCCATGCGATGGCGTAGGTTCTTGCGGCGCCTCTCGAAACACTCGTATCCCCATTTGATCTCGCATAAAGGGATGTGTCTCCTGCGTTGCTCTCGCCGTACTTTCTGCATCAAGATCAGGAGCGCGCAGTTGATATTCTCGCTGATGTCGTTCGTATATCACTCTCTGCTGTGGGGGCAGCGTCTCCGGATATGCTGCCCATCGGGGATCAAATCCTCCACTAGCATCGTCGTCTGGAGCTTCTTCAGCAGCTGGAGCTTCGCTTTCCACAACCATCCATGAGGTATGTGATTCCGTAGCATAGCCTTGAAAGAAATTCGGTACTGCGGGCAATCCAGCAAGAAGTCCTTGTGCAAATGGTGCTGCGGCTCCGGGATATGAGTATACTGGAGCCGGGGCTGTTGCCGTCTGCATGTGAAGCGTTGTTCCTGCGCCCTGGCCCTTGCCCTTGCCGTTGCCACCTTTGCCTTTTGATCCACACGTCGAGCACTTCAAGGGTTGTCCGTCTGATCCGATCGGGTTTCCTTTTCGGCCCTTGCCGAACGACTTGCCAACAAACTCCGACTGTTGTGGTTCCTCATAATAGTGCCGGCGACGAAGGGGTCCACGATGTCTGCGCGGGGCTTTGCCCACGAAGCGTCGCCACTTCTTCCGATAACGCTTATACTTCTGGTAATAGAACTCCGCCTGATCGTTGTTCGACCACTGTGACATATCTGGCTCGTCATCCTCGCGTTGAAACAGCACTGCGTTGGCCTCGCCGTCATCGTCCGTGGTGTCGCTGTCGTCGCCGTCGTATAGATACGTTCCTTCTGGAGCCGTAGCGGATCCTGCGTTGAAGACACCTGTCGGCCACATAGCGCTTGGCTGTCCAGGCGTACCAAACTCATTGGTCATGAACGTCTGCTCTGTGTGAAATACACCTGGACTCTGAGCTGGATTCATTATGTTGTGAGATCCGTGTTCCGCGAGGTGACCAAACCGCTTGACATACGCTATGAACTGGCGGTACTGCATCTCATTCACTGGCATCTGCCCCTGGAATGGGGCCAATATCTGTACCCAGAATTCAGCGGGTATGCGAAGAGACATGAGCAACATCCAGGCCGCGTGATGGTGCTGAATAGTGATGTTCGAACGCGTCGTGGCCCGCTACAGCACGACTTCCCATCTTGTGAGCATTGTGTCAATATTTTCTCCAGGAAGTCGCGCAAAACCGTACAAGTCTGCCATTCCTCTGAGATTCGTCTCTTCCTCCAGCGGTAGGAACTGTCTGGCTAGGGCTTGCAGGATGAATGCCGCTCCGTTCAGCCGTTGAAGTCCAGCTCCGTCTCCAAGATCAATCTCTGCACCATTTATCTTCGCCTGAAGAGGAAGCTCTCGTATCATATCTCTGGCAATACCTCCAAGACTAAGTTCTATCTGTGGCCCCTTCCTGATCTCATCGACATTCGTAGCGTTGCACCATGCCACCACATCAGCCAGCCAGTTGCGAAAAGGATATTGCTGCTCCATCTCCGGGGACCAGGGTGGGGGATTCGTCATACTACCTCTCATGCTCGCCCAGTCCGCTGGTCCCGGTGATTGCGGTCCGTATGGCCAATTCGGCCGACCACGGCCAGCACCTTTAGCCTGTCCATCTCCGAAAGGTTGAAACTGTCCAACTGGCTGACGAAACATTGTGATCACTATGAAGATCAGATACTTCATCACGAAGGTGTTCAGCTCGTTATTGGGCTCGTTCAAAGACCGTGGAGCAGACACAGGGTGTGCCTGCTCCGCTACCAGCTAGAGTTATATGTTCAGGCCCTCAATCTCCCTGAAGATGAAAAGGATACAATAGAGAAAGAGCTCCTTTTCTCCAGTCAACTAACCAGATACTGTAACACCAGTCAGCCGTGCAAGAACGTCTCGCTATCAAGGAGAAGAAGAGGGATGTTATTCTCTCTTTGTTCTTAGTGCAAGTAATTAGAGAAAGAGGGAGAACTGCGCAGCTTGAGCCCGAACGGGCTATCGGCCGTCGTCGTTCGCTGGCGGCCTGCGTCTGCTGCCCATTCTACCTTACCTGCGCTCTCTCTAGCCAGGAGCGCTCCAGGACTCGATCGGTGATCTATCAAGTGATCTGCGGCCTCCCCGAGGGGCCCCCGGCGGGCCTCGGAGCAGTCGAGGAGGAGGAGGAGGAGGAGGAGGAGGCGGAGGCGGAGGAGGAGGAGGAGGAGGAGGCGGAGGAGGAGGACGAGGAGGACGAGAGAGGAGAGATAAGAGGACTCGAGGAGGGAGGAGGAGGACGGAGGAGGGGAGGAAGGAGGAGAGGAAAGGAGGATGCGAGGAGGAGGAGGAGGAGAGTCGGGAGGAGGAGGAGGAAGAGGATGGGGTCGGTGCGCCGCGTCCCCGATGCGTCGTCGATGCGCCTGCGACGTCGTCGATGCGTGCGTCGGCGATGCGTCGGCGTGGAGACACTCGGGCTGCCGCGGGGGGCCGCAGAGGCCGCCACAGCACGGCTCGGCGCCCCCCCCCGCCTCGGCCTCTGCCCCGCTAGTGCCTCTGACGCGACATGTCCGGGGGGACCTGCTCGGGGGGGCACTCTGCATTCGTCCTCCTCCTCCTCCTCCTCCTCCTCCTCCTCGTCCTACTCCTCGCTCCTGCCTGCTCCTCCTCCTCCTCCCCTCCTCCTATACCCCTCTATCCTCCTCCTCCTCCTCCTCCTCCTCCTCCTCCTCTGATTGACGTCTGAGACGTCAAGCCTCGGCTGGAGAGGGGGGGTCTCCCTGAACCCGCCTGGGACCCGAGGCTTTCAAACCTTCTCGCCGGCTCTCGGCTGCCTTCCCAGCCTCGGGATGCCTTCCGGTGGCTGCGCCGCGCCAGGCGCGGCTCCGGGACCGTCAAAAGGAACGGCCGCCAGGGGCCCGCGATGTGGCCCAGAGATCACCAAGGGACCTGCTCCTCCTCCTCCTCTTCCTCCTCCGCCTCATCCTGCTCCTCCTCCTCCTCCTCCTCCTCCTCCTTCTCCTCCTCCTCCTCCTGCCTCCGCCTCTTCCTCTCCTCCTCCATCGAGCTGGAGCCCACACGACACATCGGCCGACAATATAACACAGACAGTTACAACAGAATCAGAGAACAAGAAAGTAAAGGAGACAAAGAAGATGGAGAGAAAAAGTCTCGGCGGTGGCCCCCCGGTAGCGAACCGGCAGGTTTTCGGCGGGGCTCGGGCCCCTTGCGGCGATCAGCGGGCGATTGGGGGTCGATGCGCCCCCTCTGAGCCTATCCACCCTTCACGTTGCCCCTGAGCTTGCGCTCCCCTGGCCGCAGGGGATCGCCATGAAGCGAACGGGTCCTCAGGGAATCGGGTCCTCGAGCTTGCTGCGCCGTTGGCCCCTGGGGACCCTCCTCGGGCCCCAGGGCTGCCAGAGACCGGACCGGCTCAGGACGAGGAGCTGGTCCCCAGAGAAGGCCCAGGGGTGCAGGACCCGTTTCTCTCGAGACCTGCGTGCTTGTGCCAAGGAGGAGCAGCAGCAGGAAGACGACGACGGGCATGATGGGCCACATTTCCCCCGTTCGGAAACACACAAAAACACACGACGGGAGGTCTTGTTGGCAACTTTCGGCCTCACGCCGTCAAGAAGCGGCTCAGGATGAAAGGCTGGTCCTGGGGAACCGACCCATCCAAACCTCCAGGGATCCACGCTGTGGGGACAAAAGCGCGACGACGGAGGTCCGAGTCTGTCCTGGGAGCGTGCCTTCCCTCATTTCTGAGCTGACGTTTCCTCGGCTGTGAAGCTCTGCGGAGCCTCGGGGCGTCCTCTGGGGCAGGAGGACGAAGCCGCGGAGCTCAGATGACGAGCGCACGGTGGGCAGTCTTGCCGTCTGGGCACCTGGGAGCCCGAAGGCATCACGACTGGTGAGCTTGTTTTCCACCGCCACCACCGTGAGTGGGAGGGGGAGGGGGTCCTCCTCCTCCCCCTCCTCCTCCTCCTCCTCCTCCTCCTCCTCCTCCTCTTCGTCCTCCTCCTCCTCCTCCTCCTCCTCCTCCTCCTCCTCCTCCTCCTCCTCCTCCTCCTCCTCCCCCTCCCCCCTTCCAACTTACGGTGGTGGTGGTGGAAAACGGGCCCACCAACGACGTCGGAGCTCTGCCTCCCGCGGCACGGTGGGTCTGCCGCATGCAGGCCGCGGCGGGGTCGAGGCAAGAGAGCAACTGCCAGAGTCTCCCCACCCTCCTCCTCCTCCTCCTCTCCTCCTCCTCCTCCTCCTCCTCCTCCTCCCTCCTCATCTCTTCGTCCTCCTCCTCCTCCTCCTCCTCCTCCTCCTCCTCCTCCTCCTCCTTCTCCTCCCTCCTCCCCTTCCCCCTTCATAGTCTCCCAACCCTCCAGGCGCGCTCCGGACGGCTGACGATGGAGGCGAGGACTGCGACGATCACGACCGACGACGACGACTACGACTACGCGACGACGACGACGAACGACGACGACGACGACGACGACGACGACGAGCTCGAGGTTCTTGGGCGCTCCCAGCCCCTCCGTGGGCCTACCAGCGCCTCTGGAGGTCTCTGAGGGCGTCTGGGGGCCGCTCGTCTTCGTGGTCGCTGGCGTCGTCGCCGGCGTCGTCGCCACCGTCGTCGCCGTCGCCGCCCTCGCTGCCGTTGTCGCCAGCGCCGGCGCCATCCTCGCCGCCGTCCTCGCCGCCGCCGCCGTCAGCGGCGGCGGCGAGCTAGGAATGCCGACGACGGCGGCCGCGGCGACGTCGATGAAGATGGAGAGGTCGACACCGACGTCGGCGACGAAGACGGCGGCGTCCTCCGCGCTGGGGATGCCGTGCATGTGGTTCTGGTTCCTGAGCATCGTTCAACCGATCCCTATCCACACTGGCGTGGCCTTGGTCCCTTGGCCGACTTACCCTCCTAGATGGGGATAAAGGCTGTTCGCGTCGTTTCGCAAGGCATATCCCCAACTGTGGTGCTGCGGCGGTGGGGCTGAGATTCTCTGGACCACTGGGGATGGGGATCGGTTAGACGATACCTTGCCATCGCTCGGACGTCCGTTTCCCGTCAATCTCTCAAGTTCGTGCGCCTATATTTCGAAAACGATCCACGATGCTCCTCCACTGCCCTCGCCGGAGAACAAATACACACTTCTTGGAGGCCTGGAAATGGGCACCAACACCAACACAGGGGGGTGCCTCCACAGGGGGAAGATGATCCTAGATTTCGGTGTTGGAGGTAATATTTCGGCCACCTTGGAAGCCAGAATACTCCCACCATCACCGAGATCGGGATCTCCTACCCTCGGTGGAGGCACACCGCCGAAACAGGTGCTGGTGTCATCCTCCAGTAGGCATGCGAACTCCCGAGCGATGCCAAGAGGCGGAGCTCCACGGCGAGTTGAAGTACATCGCCTCGCCGCTCCTCAGCCAGCGCCTGCCGCGCGGGCGGCGGCGAGGCGGGCGCGCCATGGGGGCGGCGGGCGCCCCGGGCGTCGGGGGCGCCGCAGGAGCGCCGCGACGGGGCGCCTCCTCCTCCTCCTCCTCCTCCTCCTCCTCCTCCTCCTCCTCCTCCTCCTCCTCCTCGAAAGGGAGCGCGCCGGCCTCGGGGGAACGCGCAGGCGTAGACGGGCGATCTCCCTGAATCTGGCGCGCGGCCGCCAGCTCCGGGGATCGGGGGAGGGGCCCTCCCCGAACGAGGCGGCCGGTGCCGCCTCGTGCGGCGGGGGAAGCCCGCGATTTCCCCACGGAAACGGGACCCGTCGCCAATCCACGCCCCCTTGATCCATGCTTGCGATCGCCTGACTGACGTGCACCTTCGCGGCCCATTCATGCGACCTTCGATCCCCCCCGCGTCTGTCAGCCCCCCCCCCCTTGCGAAGAGCCTGAAGGCCCGAAGGAACTCCAGAGGGGGGACGGGGGCACTCGTGCGGAGCAGGGCGGAGCAGTGAGGAGGGAAGACGGGGAGGAGGAGAAAAAAAGGAGGGAAGAGACAGAGGAGGAAGGAGGACGGAGCAATGAGGCAGCAGGAAAGATGCAGAGCAGGAGGAGGAATGAGGAAG